GTGAGCTGGGAATGGAGCAAGGAGAAGGACAAGGTCGGATGGACCAATATCAATGATGATATCGATGTGATCTGATCGATATGGAGCATACCGAGGTGAATATCGATGACTCAATATCGATACAGCAAGATCATGATGTACAGAAGATGCATATCGACTATGGAGGAACCTCAATACGCCTTGATGAACCCGTACTGAGCAGTATATCGACGTCCTAGATCGATACACTAGAGACAGGACAATATTGAGGTGCTGTATCGATATGAATCTGCTCTGTATGCCTTAACAAAAGGGCGATTGTATCGACCTTCACACCAAGGAGAGTTAAGCCGATACACTCTTGAAGCATTCCATATCGACCACCGTATCGACCAGGCCATATCGATAGAACCCACAAGAAGACTCAATATTGATGTGTGTATCAATGTGAGAGGCCGATATGGTCCATCCGAGTCAGCTTATTTTCGGTTTATTCTTGATTTATTAGGGGTTTCTAAGCTCCCCTATAAATACTAAAGTCCTAAAATGGTTGGGCAACTTAGATCTTATTAATTTTCTTCTGTTCTTGCTTTAAAAACATTTCATTTTTCAGCTTTGCTTTGTAAGAACTAGTTTAATTTAGTGAATTTCTGCATTTACCTTTAATATATTCTTGCTTATTCTGCTTTCTAATCATGTTTAACCATTATTTCTCTTTAGAATCTGTGGTTTTGATTATGATTAGTGAGTAGTCTTATTTAGGGTTTGAGATAGGATATATTAGAGGGGTTTTATGATTAGATTAGTGATATCTTATGCTTAATATGATTGTCTTCTCTCTATTAGATATGCTTAACACTAGATTAGTCTTGGCCAGACTTGTTTAGTATCTTGGCTTTCTCTTATACCTGATAAGTGTCATTTCCAGCGGCCTGTTGTTGTACATTCTGCGCAACAGGTGGCACCACTTGTTTCTCAATCACAGCGCCATTCTCAGCCCTTCCTCATTCCCCATGTTTCCATCTCTGCCAACCAAATGACCCTCAGCATCTGTCCTCAAAACAATCAAACCAACCATTGCAGATTGCTTCTTGGCTTTTCTGATGGTCCTTTCCAACTTAGCGAGTTTGTCGATGCCTAAAGTCACAAGCTCCTTGTCTTTGTTGCTTCTGGTACCGCGATTATGCATACACCTGAAACAGACATAAGAGAATAGCAGAAAGTTAGTAAACAAAAATAAAAACTTAGTCAGAATTCTAATATAAACAAATCGAAAGCAATTATTAAGTCCCCGGTAATGGCGCCAAAATTTAATATGCTCAAATTATTCCTAGAGCTATTCTCTCAAATTAAGAGATTACTGCAGTACTTAGGGGTAGAATCCACAAGGACTTAAAATTATTGCACAACAAACTTCAGGTTCAAATTCAGAGTAAAATGATATAAAGTAAGCTAAATAATGGAACATGGTAAACAGAAGCAGCGAGCGAGTTGTAGGTTCTTAGAAATCAATGAGACAAGGCGCTAGGCAATGGAAAATTCACAGGTTGACATAAATTCCAGACCACAGACTGAAAGGATAATTTATTAAAGCCGTTCTAGAACTCGAAAACACTAGTGTAAAACCAATCGACTTCCATCGCAGAGATTATCTATGATCAGATCCTAGAATTCCAAATTCATTTGCAAATTCTAACAACCTAATCAAGCTTTAAGGTTCAAGTTCGAAATGTTCACAAAATCACTAGTCCAAATTCTCATGCAATTAGTTATTTTGCTCATCTAAGATAGTTCTGGTGATTAACAATGTTTCCACATCTATTAAACATCCTAAGATCTGATTTCAAGGTGATCAAACTCAAAATCAGTGTTAAAGCAATCTAGATGAAAAACCAAAAGATTTTATCCTAACAGTTATGCTGTTCTAACAATTCATTATCAACCTTTGAATAACCCAAAACCTAATTAGAAGATTACTCAAACATAGCAATTGAAGCACAAATCATCACTGAATAATTTTGCATTAAAAAAATAGAGTAAAAGATAAAGTGGTTCGAAATTCTTCTCTAACAGAATACGGATTTATCTCCCCAAAAGCTCTGAATCTAATCTCTCTTTAAGTCTCAATGAAAACAAGACAGATCGCCTAACAATGGCTCTGAAAACCTAAATACATGTCTAATCACGAGTGGGGCAAGTTTGCAAATAGTAGGAAATTTCTGGGCCAAGTTGCAATTCTCCAGAAATCTTATATAACTCTATAATCGCGTCCAGGATCGGTGCCGATCAACACCGAGTGGCTAGTGTCGATCGACACCATGCACCAAATACTGCTCCGAGTTGATCTTTTCAGCAACAATTTCAAGATAGCTCCAAAATGCTCACAAATCTACAATTATACTTCAAACGTACCTAAACCTGTATAGACTCAAAAAGGCTCAAAAAATACTAAAAAAACTCTATAAACAAGACTTAAATCATGGTCAAAACCCCATAAAAACTATGATATATCAAAGTTCATCTATGTAGTCTTTCATCCTTGTCTATTGTTCATTGAATTCTCCTTCAATGAGTTACAATGCTCTCCTCTTTGCATTCTGACATTGATCAAGTGAAGATGCCACATTTTAGCGCTCATGGATTCTTTCTCCATAACCTTATGTTTTAGTAGAGAATCGTTTCTCAACTCATGAATGTACATGTTACAGATCACACTCTCCGTCAATATTCTACAATATTGATCCTACTGAAATGATTTAACCATCCATTGGGAAGCAGATTCGAGCAGTAGATTCTCCATATGCATTTCGCGATACCATGCTTAGCCTCATGTTTTTTAGCTGTCCATCTTGTAAACTTGATATTTCAACCTCCATTTGATACATACGCTAACACAACCTCTCTAAACTCAGTCACGCTTTCAAAGACTTGCCTAATTTTGCGCTCTCCACTTCCTCTTCTCCAACCATCATAACAAACCATCTCCTTATCTGCTCCTTCACAATCTGATGTAGGAAGAGTTTTTTGGTAGTTATAATTTTCCTTCTCATCAAAAATGTTGCCACTACTTCTTCCACACGAGCTTGCTCATCACACATCTCATATGTTGCTCTTCCTTTATCTCTTCTCTCCTATGTTCTCTCTTCTCCTCTGTTAACTCTTCTCTCCTCTTATCTGATATCTCTTTACTTCATCTCTATCTACGTGTTCATCAGTGTCATCTCTTACTTCATATTCTTCATCAAGCTCTATGCATATCTCAACTGATTTACACCATCTAGCCACCTCACACATCTTCGAAGAGTTGTCAACACCATGACAAAAGACCTTACAAGCTCACTCAACTCTTCATATGGCATTTTGTACCACACTTTCTGATCATAGAAATTCACAGCCAAGCCTTAGCACAATGTATTTGTCAATGTAAGAAGTTTAGAATTCTCTCGATAATTGATGACGAACATAGTATCTGAATCATCACTAAAACAATCGACAGTATAGTAAAAGGAGATGAATTTATATTGCCATATTAAACAATATAAAGCATCGATTAAACAATTAGAAATCAAACAATTCAAATAAACCGACTAAACAAATTAAAAGCATCGATTAAACAAATCCAAATCAATTCTGCAATAAAAATTTTAAAATTCAAATTACTTGATTTTTTTAGAGATTGAGACCCAAGAAGTCGATTGAACGTAAACATTTCTTGTGTTGAAGACCCATACCACCAATTATACAAAAGAACACCAAGATTTCAAACCAAGAAAACTATTTCTCTATCTCTCATGAAATGCACTCAGCAATGAAGATGGGTTTTGTTTATGTTAAATGTTTTCTATTTTACAAAATGCAGTGTTTTGTTAAAAAAAAATTATTTCAATAAATTCCAAAGCAATGCCATATTGTTATTACTAGATAAGTATTCGCGCGATGTGCGAATCTTTTTTTACAATATAATTTGTTAAAAAGTATAGTTACAATTTATTTTATCATATATTTAATTTTTTCTTAAGGATATTATGTATTTAAATAAACATACAATATATAATTATATATTATATGGATATTAACTATATATGTGATAAATGGTTTATTGATAAAGAAATGTGAAATATGTTATACTTTGTATATATAGAATATATAAAATAGATATACTGCAAATCAGAGAAATACTATATAACAAAAATTAATTAGAGAAATTCTTCAAGCACAACATAGGTAGAAACGACTTTTTTTAACATATAGTATTTGTTCACGGCGCAGATTTACACAATAGCAATGCCGTCGTTTTATAATCTTATAAGCTTAAATAATTGATTTATAATTGCACTAAATTTTTTATAAATAAATATATTAGGACTTTGATATCTTATTAATTAAAAAATTATTAATGGATCAAGTTTGAATAAAATAAATTATCAAATATTTATTAGTTTATAAAGAAATTGTTCTAAAGTTTATTATAATATTGTATATATTTTTTGTCTAAACTTTTTAGGTTCAAAATATCAAATAATTTTTATTTTTATATTTGTATAATTGTTTTTATAATAATAACTTATGATATTAATTAGAAATAGGAAAACACTCTTAAATAAGAAACATAAATTTTTTTAATGATTTCAGAAAACTACCACAAATTAGATATTCAATAATTATTTTTGGATATTAAGTATATATTGTTCTTAAAATATATTATCTAATACTTCATATTTTTTATTATTTTGATATTATGATTAACAATCTATTAAATGCATACATTAAATGTATTTTATATAATTTGTATCATTAAATTTTAAAAATTGACACATGTCATTTTCACAATAAACCAAAATGATGAGGTGGCATTCATATAAAGAGAGTTAGCCATCTTTTATAGTATAAATTATTTTGATTATTCGAAACACAAAATGACGTCGTTTTGCTTATTGTTTCCACAGAGACTGACCTCATGGCTGAATCATCGTTTTTAATAGAGTGAGTATGTTGAATAACTGGAAATTTAGTTTGCACCAATTTTTGATTCTCCTTATCTATTTGGTTTGAATACATATGAAAAAATACGAAATCCTTCTCTAATTGGGTTAAATCAAATTACATATCTTTAAGCCCATCCCTCTCTATAAATACCAATTACCATAACCTTCGAAGACACCATCATTAGCAAAGCACATAACGTAAGAAAATGAAAAACTGTATGGCTCTCTCTGGTTCACAAAAGAAGCTGCTCCTACTCGTCTTAGTGTTTCCATGTCTCTCTTCAACAGGCGCAGAGGCGTGGAGCTGGAGCTGGAGCATCGGATTGGGATGGGGCTGGGGATCGGACGGCTCAAGTAGCTCTAGCTCAGGTCCTGGTTCCAACTCTGACGGCTCAGGCAGCTCTAGCTCAGGTGGCTCGAGTCCTGGTTGGGGTTGGGGTTGGGCCTCCAGTCCTGAATCACCTGGCTCGAGCCTTGGATCACCCGGATCCAAAAAATCTGGATTAGGTTCAGGTTCATACTCAAGCAGTTTGAACAACTCTGGATCATCAGGCGCAGAGACTGACAGCTCGAAAAACTCCGGATCAGGTTCAGATTCAAACTCTGGTTGGGGCGGGACATGGGGCTATGATGTTCCAAGCGGCTCCGGCTCAGGTTCGGTTACTAACCCTGATGGATCAACTTGGCATTGGCATTGGGATCCTAAGACAGGCTGGACTTGTACATGGAGTCCAGGGCCAAGCCATAGCTATTCAAGCAGTGTGGCCTCCCTATCGGAGAGTGAATCACCAAGCAGTTTGGGCCCAGTCTCGAAAAGTGAAGTTCCAAGAAAGATTGTAGTGGGAGGATCTAACGGATGGACAAAAGGAACAGATTACAGGGAGTGGGCTTCCAAGAATATTCCTTTCTATATAGATGATGTTCTTGGTAAGTAAATTAGTTTGGTTACAAATGCTATATAACATATGTTAAATGGATTTTGATTGGTCTTTAATGAATATACTTTTGTTCAATATGGTGGCAGTTTTCAAGTACGACAAACATGCTAAGGAAAGGAATAATGTTTATTTGTTCCAAGACCCAATGAGTTACTGGAACTGCGACTTTAAGAATGGAAAGAAGATTGGATCTAGGAATATAGGATCCCAAGACAGCTTCAATATTACACTAAAGATAATACAGCCTTACTTCTTTGCTTCGGCCGAGCATGATGGTGCTTATTGCAGCAGGCACAAAATGAAGTTCGTCGTGTTCCCAATTCCTCACCGTTCTGGCTAATATTAAAATCTGTAGCCTTTTTATCAAATAAATAAAGTGTTGACGTTACTAGTCTTGAATTTTAAGTAAAGGCATTGTAGACTTTAGAAAGGTTGACGGTAAAATATGGTTAACGCCTAACTCGATTACCTTCCGTGATGTGTGCTGACACGTCATACAATAAAAGAAAACGGCGGTAAATTGTAACTGAGAAATTGAGGAATGAGCAGAATTTTGACTAAATTTAGGTGACAAAATAATGAAATACAAAAGACAAAATTACCTGAATTGTTGAGTTTTGTTTTCTTCTCACTTGTTGATTATATACATGCAGAAAAAACAAAAGTTGTTGACTTTTTTTTTCCTTCGACATTGATGCAGAGAAAGTTTTTAGGGAAATTTTTAAAACAACAAGAGGGTATATTGAATCAATGATTTGAGAGAATTTGAATATGACCTTGATTTGGGAAATTTTGTAAGTAGGATGAGATTTGAGAAAATTTTGCTGATTTATTTTTACAAATTTTAGGTGATTAAAAGGGATTTGAGAAATTTTGAAAAATAAACAACAAAAACATTTTTAATTTTTGATTACACTAGTGTAGTTAAAAAATAGTTAAAAATTTTATTTTTCGTTTTTTGTCAAGTTTTATTTTTGATTTTTATTTTCAAATTTGTAGAAGAAATTGAAGAAAAAAATCAACATGAACAAAAAGAGAAGAACAAATGAACAAAAAGAGAAGTACAAACAAGGAGGATTGAAGAAGAAAAGAAAATCGGGTGAAGGGGAAGAGGAAACTGAAAGAAGAAAGAAAAAAAAAGAGAAAGAGTGAGAAGTGGAAAGAAGAAGAAGCAAGGAAGAGAAACATAGATAAGGAGGAATCCAGGAAGAGAAGCAACTAGAAAAAAGATGTGATAATTAATTTTTGATTTTCTCAAATACCATCTCATAAGAGCATCTTTAATCCTACTCCATTTTCAACTTCAAATGCTGTTTTGGAGTAAAATCCTCTCCAACCCTACTATATTTTCAACTCCAAAATAGAGTAAACCTAAATTCTACTACATATTTGGAGTAGATCTAAACTCTACTTTATTTTAGAGTTAGATTTTTTTATTTGTAAATTAATCCTTTATATTTAAAATATTCTTTTTTAAAGTAGAAAATGGAGAAATACAATAGAGCAAAACACAACTCTATTTTGGAGTTACTCTATTTTGGAGCAGAAAATGAAGAAATACATTGAAGATGGTCTAAGAAGGTATTTGTTTTACTCTACATTTTAACTATAAACTACCTCAGAAATCATTTAAAATTATCTTTAAAATATTTCATTAAGAAAATTCAAATTTTCCAATAAGTTGAATTCGAAGAACTTATATAAATGATTGATTTAATAACTTTGAATTTTGAATAATTTTTATAAATACTAGGATTAATAAGAATTTAGGATCTAATGAGAATTTAAAACAATAAACCCATTTATGAAAGAATATTATAAACGGCTAATTATCATATTTTATAACTTATAAATGTTCAAACAATATAAAGTTACTATACAGATATAAAAATATGTAAAAAAATTTTTTTTATAAATATTTCAAATAATAGATGATTGGTTAAATGATAGGTGAAGGAAAAAGTATACACCATAACAAAAACAAAAAAAAAAAGAAAAATCTAATAAAAGTTTACGTTTGTCAAATACCTTCTCAGTTACGCAAGATTAAAGTGACAAGATGATAACTTGCTATTTTAGAACATTTTAGCTGGCATTTCATGCATTTTTTTCTTTACTTTTGTATTATAGTTTAGCATTTTAGTCTCATTTGCATTTAGAATCAACATTGCATGCATTTAGCTTATGAATGCATACATTTGCATACATGTGTATGTTTGTGGTGCTGTTCAGGTGTTTTGGAGATTCTTGGAGTTGGGAAAGAGATGGAAGCAACTTATGTTCGAAGGAGATGCCAAAGAAGCAGCTTTGCAAACTCTGTGTCCATATCGAGGTCCAGCATCGAGCAGAACATCCATGAAGCTTGCTCGATGTGAAACGTGGGACGAGGAAGAAGGATTTGACTGAGGACTCCGAGACTGCACCGGGGTAGTGCACCGAGCTAAGTATGCTGTACAAGCTGATACAAATATACAGGGCATATCGAGGTGTAGCATCGAGTTGAACACCAAGAACCCACCTCGATATCGAGCTGGCCACATCGAGCAGAACACCTTCCCATACACCCCGATGCGTCAACGCCGAGAGTTGACCAAGCTTTTTCTACCTTTTGTCAAACCTTATCTTTTTGGCTTCTTTATGCTAAACTTTTTTTTTTAGCACTTATCTTCTTCTTTATCTTATTTTCGACCAGAGGGGAAACCCAAAAGGGGATTTGATGAGATTTTGATCAAGATCACTCTTTTAATAAAGTTTTGCACTTCCTTTGTTATTTTTCTTCTAGTTCTTGTTTAATCATGTTTGATCTGTCTTTTATGCTTGTTTTTGTTGATTCCATGATGTGTTGTGAGTAGTTTTATATGGTTTGAGGTTGGAGCAGATTTGGAGATGATTAGTTGATAGCTTAGGGAGTTTTGGTTTGATTCATGCTTAGATCACTTAGCTTAGTTGTTCTTAGTGCTTAGTAATTCTTTTAGGGTGAAACTGATCTTAGGTGTTTACTGCATCACAAGTGTTTGTTTAAATGCCTGAGAGAACTTTGTTAAGAACATTCTCCTAGATGATTATATTGACGTTTAGGTAGCATGTTTGGTCCATAAGAGTCTTGTGTTTTCATACAGGTTTTGCACAAATACGCCATCACAAGTGGGTCTGACATGTGCTTAACTTAGACATCTCTGTTCTGTTTGCAGATTGATTGATTTAGTGGCTTGATCATGTTCTTTGCTTGTTAATGGTCTTGACTGCCCTAGGTTTGATACTAAGTAATCTCCAAGTCATTATTGCTCTAGCCTTGAATCAGCGCCTTATTGTTCTTTGAATTTGATCATCTTCTGCTCTGTTTTCCTCTGTTTTTTGTTGCTTGCTTTTGTCCATTCCTTGCCTTGCATTTCAAGTTATTGCACTTAGCTTTCATTTTAGTTCTTGCACTTCCATTGCTTTGTTTACCTTAGTCCTGTTGCATTTAGATCAGTGCCTTATTAGCTTCTGTTGCATTTAGTTTCTTTGCATTACATTACTTGCTTTAGTCTTGCTAGTTTTCTCTTTTGTGCATGCATTTCATCTTTGATCACTTAGGTTGTTAGAATCATCCTTCTTCATCATACATGGTTAAGGTTAGTTAGTGCCTTGCATCTCTTTTATTCTAGCTCATAGATGGATTGATAAACCTCATCTATACTACATCTGATTAGAGAGGGATTAAGTTAAGACTTGCAAAAATTCCTTCAATTTGGCGCTGTTGCCATTCTAGGATTGTTAGATAATTGAGTTTAGGTTCTTGCTTAGACTTAACCATCTTTTACTTTACTAATCACTTTACCTTTCTTGCTCTATTTTCTAAGGTACAATGACTGATCAACATCATCACCGACCTTGTTATCAAGCTCAGTTCATAGAGGATGAAGCACCAGTTCAGAGGTTACATAGGCCAGTGCTTCAGATTGCTAGAAGAGCACATCACATTGGATCTCATGATGCTCATTACCTTCATACTAGACGCACAGGTATACTTCCTCCACCATCTCAAGAGCATCACTTTGAGATCAAAAGCAGTTTGATTGCAATGGTACAAGCTAACCACTTTAATGGCACATCTATGGAGGATCTGCTTGATTACTTGGACAGCTTTGAGAGTCTTTGCAGTTCACAAAAGATCAATGGTATCACAGAAGATGGTTTCAAACTGAGGTTATTTCCTTTCTCTCTTGGTGATCGTGCACATTTGTGGGAAAGATCATTGCCTTGTGGATCAATATGTTCTTGGGATGATTGCAAAAGAGTGTTTCTTGCAAAGTTTTACTCTTCTACCAGGACAGCTACGCTAAGGCAGAACATCTCGGGGTTTAAACAAACGCAATATGAGCCATTCTGTTCAGCATGGGAAAGATTTCAAGGTTACACATTGTGCTGCCCTCATCATGGTTTCTCAACAAAGTCATTGCTTAGCACATTCTGCAGAGGAGTGTCACCACGGTTCAAGAGGCTGTTAGGCACATCTAGTAATGGCCACTTCTTGGGTAAAAATGTTGAGGATGGTTTGCAACTGACTGAAAACCTTGCCTTGAGTAATATTGACTATGCGTATGAGCAAGAGGACCGCTACAAGAAGACTACTGACACCTCAGATCACCAAACGAAGCTGGATATGTTAGCACTAAGTGCTAAGCTAGACTTGTTGCTTGAGCAATCTCTACATCATCCACCAAAGGAAACAGAGAAGACATCAGCTCTTGGACATGCTTACAACTTAGAAGCTGAAGCCTACTATGTGCAGGAACAATAGAATGTTCATCATAAGCCTTACCAGGATACAAGCTATGACAGCTACAATGCTTACAGTCCTCAAGCGTACACAAGGGAGAGTGCTCCATTATACAATCAGCTTGGTATTCCCATCCAACAACACCACAGGTTTACATCTTCATATGAAGAACACCAAAAGATTATGAATGCAACAGAGTTTGTCCCTCAACATCAAGTGACCGCTGCAAAAATTAAGGATATCCCTAGTCATTCACCTACACAACCATCTACATCTGATGAAGCAACAGCTCAGCTACTTGAAACACTCCTTGCCGCTCATACAAAGAGTACAATGGAGATGCATGCTAATCATACAAAGAGTACAATTGAGATGCATGCTAATCTACTACAGAAGTTTGAGAAAGTTAGTGATGAGCTTGCCATGCTTAAAGCCAATCCAGTGTCCTCTATAACAGTTCAACAACAACCGCCACCAGCTGTGAAAGCAATCACTACTAGGAGTGGTTAACAGCTACAAGGACCTGTAGCAAAAAAACCTCTCCATGTGGACATTGAGAAGCAAAGTGGTGGTGGGAAGGGGGGGGGGGGGGGGGGGGGGGGGGGGGGGGTCTCTTAAGACTCATGAAGAAGAAACCGAAGCAGAAGCAGAGATGGAAAGGAGAACTGAGGCAGAGCGTGTGAGGAAAGGAAAACAAGTGGCCAAAGAATCATAAAGGAAAGCCATACAACCTACAAGGAAGAAACCTGTCTTTGTTCCTCCTCCTTAT